AATCATTCGGGGCGCTCCTGATTCTTTCAACCTGGCGGACAAGAAACATGTGTTACAATGGTCATGTCACAGGAAGATGTCTTGAGCTGAGTAGCCCTTGAATGATAGACTGCAATCGGCGATGCCGCGGCTTTTTGTTCCACCACGGCAACGTCTCATGATCAGGAACATAGCACCTTCAGGGGCGAAATCTTATGAAGATCTTGCAGACATCCTCCAGTTCGTTTCTCCCGCCTTTCTTCTCAGAGCTCTTTGGTCCCCAAAACTTGGAGCTTCTTTTCAAGCCTTTCTCTCTCAGGTTGACCCGTGACCTCCACGTTTGACATACTTACCATCAGCCCTTCCTCCCTGAGCTCGGTCGCTCGATCTTTCCACTGGCCAAAAGCCATCGCCTGCCGGCACGTACCGGGGTGTACTCCACCTTCCGGCACATCCCAAACCACCTTGAAGCGCAGAAAAACGTTTTGAAATTCGGGTTGCGACCACTTTGCAGCGGCTTTTCAAGTCCTTTCGCACCGCTGGGAGGGCGTCCTGGTGGTCCCTCCGGCTAGGCCGCAGGCTGGTGACGAGTCCTGGGTGACGAGGGGAGAGGGCCCATGCCATGGACATCCGGAGAAAGATATGACCAACCCACTTTACAGTGATCTTTAAAGTGTATGGGGGAAGCTTCCGTGACTCTTTAGGTCAACACAAAGCCCATCAAAGCCCTAAGAGACTGGGGTCTTCGACGCCGCGTAGGAATCATCAATTTTTAAGGGTCTCAGCTTCTCACTTGGCAACTGCTCTGTCTCCCTCTCTCTCTGTGCAGATCTTCCAGAAACACAGCCCTTTTGTGTGACACTTGAGTTTCTCCAGCCCTCCGCACGTATGTGATCTTGGGTGGCCTAGTATGTGGCCCAGTCCGCATGCGTTCATTTCAAGTGTGCGTTCGCTGAAGTGGGTCAGTTTCCTCACTGACCAGGACTTGCTTAAGAAAGAAGACCAGGAACTGCTGTTTTGAGCTCTGAGGTCTCTCATCGCTTTCACGTGGGGGGGTGGGGCAGGTGCCGCTGCTGGAGCGCTACGGTCAGGAGGCGGCCTCCGCGGCGGTGAAGCTCCGCACAGCCGTGCCGCACGGCGGGAGAGGGGGAGGGTTGGGGAGGAAGGGACCGTCTGCCCTGGTCTGCCCTGGTTGGTGTGGTGGATGGACGTTTTCTTGGGATCTTGAAGTGCTGTGGAGCTTTGGAGAGTCGGCCTCGTCCTTTGGGAGTTAGGAAGGTTTCGGGAGCTTCCGGTTGTGTGGTGGCATCTTGTTTTGGGCTTTCGGATGCGGACATGATCGCAGGTTGATTTATGCCGTCCAAGACGGTCCTCTGAGGCATAAGGATGATGCAATGGATATCGAGTGCCTTGGCTGAACGCTGGATCTGTAGGGGATGCCTACAGATTACTACGGTGAACTCCTGAGCCCCATGGCTACGGCAGGACATTCCTTGATTGTCTCTACGTCATCTTCTCTTATTCCCAAGGGAGGGCTCCCTGTTTTGGACAAAAATGAACCAATTCAGTGGCCAGATTGAAAGTGCAAGTCCGGTCTGCTGTAGCCTCCGCACGTTGACCGATCCTCTGGTTTTGCACAGAGTCAGTCACACTCCGTGGCAATTTCTTGAGTCAACAAGTTCTGGAACTGTGAAAACATGCGAACACCGATCCTTCCCCCTCCCGACAGACGCGTCAACCAAAACGCTGCCGACGGACGACGAAGACCAATCACCACGAGACCTCACAAATGTTCCTCTTGCTGGGTATATGCAATCAGCTGCCCGATCACGGCAGTGCAAAGCTTCTTGCCTTGCCTTGCTTCGCTTTGAGGAAGGCCTTGCACAACATCATCTTGAAGATGCAACGCTGGGAGCTCAGCTGAGGAACGGACAGGTGCCGGCTTTCCCACGCCAAACGACTCACAGCCAACGGGCCACAGAATCTAGCCCCTTTGTACTTGTAGCAGCTACATAGGACTTCCGGATCAGAATCTTGCCAATGGCGAAGTGGAGGGTGACACCATCACTAAAGGCAGAATGGACCGCTTAACCACCTGCCACCATTACCTCATCCCTCCTTTTTCCCAAAACCTGGCAGACACGGACCACTAGCTCCAAGATTGCCAATAGAGAGAAACCATCTCTTGACCCAAAGACCACTTTCCAACTGCTCACCCTCTCTTAACGTTCTCGTTCTCGGATGTTTTGGCTCGCTCCTCTCTCCTGCTCTTCGATTCCTCATTCCTGAACTCATCCCTCTCTCTCCAGCCTCTCTCTCCAGCCAGAAGGTCAGGACGTGAACTGGCAGGCTGTGGAGGCCACCGGTGTGGGGCCCATCTTCCGCACCTCGTCACCAGCGTGTCGTCACCTGGGCCGGGGGGAGGAGTGGAGGCCACCGGTGAAGTCCAAACGGGAAGACGGGTTTCGGAAAGAGAAGTCTAGACATGGATCCAGGACAATTGGCAGTCCAAGGGCTTGGGTCGGTTGGGGAATTCGCTTGTCCTTTTTCGTCCCATGTAGGAATTCTGCACGGAAGCTAGACTTCTCTCCACCACAAATGCCAACCCCTCTTCCGGTACTTGCCCACATGCCATGTAGCAGAAAATCAAATCCATCTCGCCCATTCACTCTTCAACTGGTGTTTGCAGGCCACCAGTTCACACCCATTGACTCATATGATACGCATCATGGAGGAAATACATCGAAATACTCATTCGGTATGTCAAAGAGTACTACTTCTCATTCACCCAAAACCCGACCAAGGGAACACTCGACGGACAGGAAAGTGAGCATAGCACGACTAGAGTGGAGGCCAAAGAGGACGTGGAGTCATCTAGTGGTTCAAAAGTCAACTGATCTTTGACAGAACATCATAGCTGTAAGATGCCATGCCAGTTCAGCTTTTTTGGCTGAGAAAAGGTTGACTTAATGTAAGGGCAATAATCTATGCAAATGTCCCACGAGGAGGCATGGCAGCATTAACTTCTTCTTGCGTAGGAACAGCGCAGGCACTTCTGCTTGATTGATTCTGCACAACCACAACTTTTGTCGGCATACATTATCATTCTCCTTTATAGAAGTGGATTTCAACACCCACTTGCGCCGCAAGAGGCTTGAACACATGACTTTAGCCAAGTCAACGGCGGCTTTCCTCCTCAAACTGATCTCCTGCAGCTTGCTGCCCGCCGCGGCGTGGGCCGAGGCCAGCTCAGCAGCTTCCACGGCGATGGCGACATCCGGCTGCTGGCGCGCAAGGCCGTGCTGGAGGCGTCCACCGCATTGGGGGGGTGCTATGTGTTTGGTCGTGCAGGTGGGGATGGATCTGGGCAAGGACTTCTTCATAGGCGGAATATGTAATATGATTCTACTATGATGTAATCTCCAACATTTTAATTTGCTTATAGTCCTCTTTTGCATTTGGTTTTTAATGTTTGGATGAGTTGGATGTTCTAGCTACCGGAGCATGATTGCAGTATATAGTTATTTTGAAACAAGGGGATTGAGTTTCCATGCTCAGGGTGTGCACCTGGTGTAGTTGTTGCAGGGCTGATATGTGGGTAGACGAGATGGGGGTTTGCCATCAATCAGACAGTTCTGACCATGGCGAGTAGTAGAAATCACATGCCAAGGCCACATTGAGCGTTGTGTACAGGCAACAGACTTTGAGCATTCCACCCGTTTATTGCGCTGAGCATCTCCTAGAAAGCTGACATTTTGTTTTATATCTGTATGAGAAGCAGTACAGGAAATACGAGGGCCGCCACTTCTCGTTCGCGGTAAGCTCGTCGCGGTCAGCTTCCCATCGCTAGGCCACGAAGCTTCAACAAGCTGAAGCTCTTAGGTAGGCCAAGGTATGATGAGCCAATGGTCGAGCAGCTGGCAGTGAGGGTGAGTGTTTTTTCTCTTTTATATTAATTATATAAGTCTTTAAGGATGCAATGCAAACGGTGTGATTCCTGATATGAGCCAGAAAAAATCTGAAGAACTGATCCAAGCTTTTCGCTTTTCGCTCTGATTGAACATGGTGGAACCCACCCTCCAAAAGTGACGTCACTGTCTCCGAACGGATGTACATACAGCGATCGATCTCACGAGCGTTTCAGCCTCTAGGGCGAGGTCTTCCCTTTGCGTGGAAAAGCATGGGCCTTGAGCCTGCTCAGGTTCTGGGATCTGATGTGAAAAAAATACAAGGAGAAGAGTGGATGAACCAATGTGGTGAGATGAGAACTGACACATTTGACACATGGTGGGAATGGGCTGACAAAGTCTATGTTTCGAGAGGGTCCAAAACAAACATTAAATACTGTATTTGATTCGGATCGTTGTTGGCCAAACCAAGATCTGCATCAGAATGGCTGGCTTGGCTGGGCTTGGCTCCTGTCGGCTTTGGTCTTTGGCATACTTAGACAGACTGATAGCGAACCACTACAATACAGTTTTCTGATTCACATTGTTTCACATTAAGGGATGGGTTCTACCTGTCAACTGGATTCGGATGGATTCGGAAGTCACGGCCGTAAAGGAAACATTTACTCGAAAGGTGAAATGTCTACTCCATTGTCAATCAAGATGGTGAATCAGATGTGAGTGTTGTGGATTTCTCCCGGATGGCAGGTGCTCACTTCTGGTCAACATGCACGGTAGTAGGTACTAAAGCATACTATAGCCATGAAGGCATCTCACGAACCTAGGAGTTTTTGTCAAGTGTGCGTGACGAAGCTACCGCCAAAGCTGGTGAGCTGGTAGGAAAATGTTGTCAGCAAAGCAGAGAAATCCGCGGATCCCACGTGGTTAGAAGGATTAGGTGAGGAGTTTACCTTTGAACATCTAGGGGTTGGCCCAGTAACACATGATCCTGCTGTTGTTTTGGCCCACTGCCCAACTGGTTTGGTTCAATTGATGCCTATTCCAAGGGGCACAACTCCCAGGACGACCCGCGTTTCGGCGGACATCGTTCTCGATGTCCGCGTCAGTCGACAGGTGGCATGGCGCCGTGCGCCAGCTTCGCATGGTGCAGAGAGAGAGTGGCCGAGCCGGCCATGTTTGCCACAACACGGTGGCCGAGGTCATTTTTAGACCATGCGGACCATGCATGTCTCGTTCCAAACCCCTACGGCCCTACAGGAGATTCTCCCCAGTCGGACCAGCATCACCGGGTCAACCTTCTCACTTCGGGCCCCGGGCCCATGTTGGGGACCGACTGGTTGACTGGACCACCAATCCACCCGGGCCATTGGCCCGCGATCCACCGTTCATGCACCGTGGGTCCCCCCCCGTTCGTTCGATGTACCGTGGGCCCCGAAGCCTGGGCTCGAGGTTGGTAAATCGAAGTTGGGGGATTCGTTTTCTCCGCGTCAACGGCGAGGTCGCGAGCTGAGAGGCTGAGAGATGAACCTGGGCTCTGAGTGAGGTGGCTCTTCAAGGAATTCTTATGTGGAGTCAAAATCCTAGGCAAAAGTTTACCTGTAGGTGCGTCGTTCAATTTCATCTTAACCTGTTGTTTGGACTTCGGCAGCTTAGCCACTTGGAGACTCTGTCAATGCGCATGAACCCAATTCCCAGAATAGCCTTTTTTGAAATGGTTGCTCGTGGGATGCAGTCGATGTTCCCACAACAGATCCAGCCATAGGAGTTCGATCTGCCAGGTAATGGCAGTGCTGGGCATGTAGCTTTTGAATTCGTTGTTTTTCTCGGCCTGTGGAAGCACTGATGTTGGATTAAAGGTCCAGCTTGGCCCCAGGTGTGATGAATGAGCTAAAGCAGATCATTGCAACAGGTGGGACTGGAGGGTGGGGGAGTCTGAAGGGCAACATCTGTCGGCGGCAAGACAACAGGGTTTTTGAATCATCTCAAGTGATTTTTCAGGGTGAGTCATATTGGCCGAATCCCGATTTCTCCAAAACCATGGATAGATTGACATGCCTGTTTAGGTCTTCGTCAGGGATTTCGGGGTGCCATGAAATCAGACATTTTCATCGTTAGCTTCGTCTTCGGCCGAAGCAGGGAAGCTCCAGATCGATGCAGCCGAGCTGGACTGCAACTGGTGGGTGGGGTTATGCGCTACAAAGGGGATGGTGGTCCGTATGACATGAGAAAGAGACAGGTGAGTCCATATAGTAGATGGCGCAGAGGCCCAAAGCCATCGGTTTCATTTTGTCCGCCTGGTCAGGGGATCAAGCTCAAACTTGAGAAGCTCCAAGGTATGTATTAGACACCATGCTTGTGGGTCAAGATCTGTAAGCCTGAAACCCCTGCAGTGCTTGCAGTGAAAGAATATGAACAACATTGAATGGATGAATGGATGGTTCTCACATGTGCTTGGGGTGCTCGTAAATACGGAATTCAACGGTGGACCCTGGTGGTCAGTGTCCAAGAACAATAGTGATCCTGGGGTGATGAACCTGTGTTGTCGCCGCCATATAGATAGGTTCAGGATTTCTTCTCCGTTGTGACAAGCGAAGGTCCTTCCATGTGAGTCACCCCAGCCGAATAGCTAGATAGACATGTTCCCATGGTCTTTTGGGTCCAACTCTGGGTGCTTTTGGATTCTTGGATCAGCTCCAGGAGCAGCTGGAGGAGCTCTTGAAAGATCCCTCTGCAAGGCACCGATCCTGTTGACCTTGTGCCCGGTAGCAGGCCTTGGCAACTCTGGCCGAACAAAAAGGGACCCTTTTTTGCGGATATGTTACCTCCATTTGTTCGACTGACTAGTCCGTTTCCTAGAGTGTTGTGCAGATTCCTAGTAGAAGCCAAGTTTAAAGGATTGGTCAGGAATCATACAGCTTCACGGCTAGCTTGAAGAACACCATGAAATTCCTTGTGCCTTGAATGCAGGTCTGTGCAGACACCAAACCCATGACATTTTCGTACAAATGGTTGTGAAGTTGGCTGTAAAGTGACTTGGGCCCCACATGTAGGCTGGGGTGAATGAAGGAGATTGCAGGAGAGTCAGAATTAAGCCTGATCCTTTTGGGAGGTCAGCATTGTCAGCATGGAGCTGTTTGGGAGCAATCTGAGCCTTTTCATACTTTGCTTGCAGGAAGATGCAGGAGGCTATGACGAGCCTTTGGGCCACAGGCTGGGTTGGAGGTCCACCATCTAGCATCAGACACGGGGTAGAAGCATACCGTCTTACTACACGTAGTCATGGTGTTCTACTTTACAGTTGCAGATGCTGTTCCGGAGATCCCGATCCCATTTTCGGGTCCCGATGTTCACGGATGAATTGGCCACTTCGTCATCCATTGTTCATCTCCATCCAGCCTCTTTTCGAGGTCGTTTTTTCTTCATGTCCTCTCAAGACTTGTCCCACCAATCAGCAGGTACGACGGGGTAGTTGTTGCTCCCCGCTTGTGCAGTGGTCTTGTGCAGGCCGTCCACAGCAGCGCGAGCTCTCCTGCTACTTGCTGGAGGAAGATTTGGGGAGACTGGGATGGGGGACCATGAGATCAACGGATATCAACGGTTTTTCGTCCAGTCAATGGCGCAGGAGGTTTGGGGGGGGCAGGAGTTGCATCTAGACTCCCAGCAAATGATCATGGTTACATGGATGGCAGAGCCACGATGTCGGATGACCATGAGTCTTCCGAAGACCAAACAGGTGGTGCCATCCTGCCATCCACGAGTATTTCAGCAAGTGTGACTGAACATGGGATATCCCAGCACGGACGTGATCCGAAGATCTTCTATGCGGAACATGCGACATGGAACGGAACGGATGTGAACAAGGGAGGTGATCAAGAAGCCAAGTAAGTAGGTACTGGTATCAGATTGCAATGACATGCCTGTATACATCTATAAGAGAAGAAGATTCTGGGGCTTACTTGCTTTCTTCGAGAGAAGGGATCCTAGCACCCAGCTGGATCATTTTCGTCCCAGACAAAGAAAAGGCTTGATGATTGCTCCCTGAAAGATGCATACAAGACCTGCTCGACCCGACCCTCCTCAAGACTCCAGAGTTTGCAGGCTTGATGTCGCATCTCCACTTTCTACAAAGGATGTCTTCACGGGGATGATTCCGGGATAATGCAACAACCAGTGAGACCAGGTGGTGCTGGTCCAAAATGTCTCTCACGGACACGCCTGAATGGGGACACTTCTTCCCTTCTCGTGCAGGCGTGCGGGGAGAAGACGCTGGGGCCTTTGGGGCCTTTCCCCGCCAAGGGGGAGTCATGTGCACGGTTTTGATTTAGCTTGTCCACTAGGCCAGAAAGCTAAAAATGCCTCAACACTGAAGTGTTAATCAGCACCACTTGCTGTGAAACACTACATGGAGGTTGAGCTACATTTTGAAGAATCACTTGGCAGCAGGAGCTGAATTGGTCTAGAATCAGCAGTAGCGAGATACACATGTATATATACTTATTGTTTAAGTGACTGAAGTTGGTTCGCCGCGGGCTATCAGTCGGTCTCCATTTGAAGTGAACAACCCGCTGATCTTGGTTTGGTCAGAAGAGACTCAGCAAGAGCGCTTGGCTCATCCAGGAAAGAATAATGCCAAACACTTCACGACCTGAAACTGAAACCTCAAACCTTCCAACTTCTCGCTGAAAGACGAACATCACCATGCCGTTCTATACCTCCCCCTCCGCCTTGCCTGCCGAGGTTGGAGCTGGCACAGCGCTGGGCTCTCACCGGCAAAGCTTGGCTGGAGCGCGGGCGCTCCGCATGGCTTTGGTTTGGTGCTCTGCATGGCGGTACGCGGTGAAACCACGATGGGTCATGGGGTCGGGATCGATCCCCTTGGTCCCAAAAAGGCCCAAAGAGTTGGGCCATCCAAGCCTACTTACCGGCGACTTCGAACCAAGCGGTTTGACCGGGTCGTGTGGAATCCGACGCAAGGCGAACCGACCCCCCTGCCGACCCCTAAAAAGCATCAAAAAGCCAAAGAGAGGAGACCCCCATGTGCTGGGCTAGCCGATTTGTCCTGTGACAGTCGTTCTGGCTTCTTCTCAATTTCCTTTTGCAACATCACGTGCATTATATCACCTGAATCCCAAGTTTCAAGACGCAGCACTTGAGACGCCCAAGTGGTGGCCAATTCTTCCTCCCAGTCGTTTGTTTGGCGTCTCGCCACGACTAAAGGCACATCCATTGGATTTGTCTGCTGGAAGGTCTACAAGAACATTTTTCTCTGGGTAGGGGAAATCCACCATCTAAAAACATAGATGAACTTGTTGTTTACTCTTCAAGCAGCCTTACGGTCTCGCCGGTTGCCTACATGCAACTATATAATATTCAACGGATGGCAATCAGGCCCTATTCGACAATCGATTCGGAGGATTGTCGCATTGTCGTCCACTTTTCTGGGAAATCAGCTGAGAACATCAGCTGGTTACCGCGCCAAACCAAGTAGTCACCAATGATCTCCGAGTCACCAATGATCTCCGGGTATTGGCTTCTAGGCTTCGCATGGTGGTCAGCCACGTTTGATTCGTGCGTCCGTGCGTTCAAAAGTTTCATGGCCACTCCGGGCCACTCCAGGTGGTGCACATCAAAAAGGGATATGGGTTTTGGGGACGGGGCCCCAGTAGTGATCTGCTGTATCGATGCACTTGTTGCTAGTAGCTTCTTGCCACTAGTAGTACTAGTAGCGATGCACATGTATACTGACATGTATACACAGTCTTGTCGAACCACAGGTATCGCTTTGCAGCGCTTCCGCCCCGTGATCGCAGGACCAGGGCCGCGTCGAGGCGTCGCTCGGATGCCTGCGGCGTGCGGAGCTTGTGGGTGCCGAGGCGGGCGGCGGGAGCCGTGTGGGCGCTGGGAAATGATGTGGAAAAGTGGTAGTTTGGAGGTGTTTGTGATGAAAGTTGTTAGTTTGATAGTTTTTACCTGTCAAGATCCCGGTTTTTTGGGAATGATTGCTTGGGGCTTGGGGTTTCTCATTATTTTTCCCAAAGATTGGGTTTCCAGGTGACTTTTTGAGGGTCAATGGCATATTTGCTGGTTTCTATGTGGTGATGGGGTGTCAGAGGCAGATTCATTCATTCAGCACATCATTGGTTTCCCTGTATCACCCTTC